GTTAGTATTTCAAAATGATTTTTTCCCCTTTCCATTTAGAAGAAAGAATAGAAGGGAACGTCTTGGCATTCATCACAAGGTTTTTATGGGCTACTTTCCGTGACTCAGATGAAGTAGCACTGTATTCTCCCTGGTAAATATTCATGCTTAGTGCAGGCTAAAGCCATTAAAAAAACCCAAAAAACTAATGCAGCACCAGACATTCGAGCCGTGAGCAGCTGGATGGAGCTGGGGCATGATTAGAACGGCTGCACCAGGGGGGACTCTTCCTCCTCCTCCTCCTCCTCCCTAGGGGAAGGGCTAACTCTTAACGTGCTGAAGCAAGCAGGAACAGCAGGGATGGAAATGGGCTATTGGGTTCCTGCTGACATAGGTCTAGTGCTCAGGACTGGACTGGGTCCCTAACGATGCCGGTTTGTCCCCAGGTCGAGAGATGTCTTGACAACAGGGCAGCTTTGTTACACCAGGCTACTCTAGCTTTCACGAACAACCCCTCCTAATCCACTAGATCGCCGGCTGGCAGGAAATAAAGGTCACTCCAGCAAAGCCAATGGGCTGGAAGCACGGCAGTGCAACTCCAGCGCAGCTCTGAGGAAGTCCAAGGCGCTGTGCCGACTGACACCAGGTGACGGTGCCTGCTTCCAAATAAGAAGACTCCTTCCCACTTGCCCCATCTTTCTTTTCACATAGTCCTGCCCTAGGGAAACGGAGGAGGAGACTGGCATGGTTGCCTGGACTCGGCCACAAATCCCAGTGACCTGAAAGTGCTGATGGACCGGGTCCTGTGTTTGCAAAGAGAAGGGTCGATGGAGCGCTGGACTGGATGCACGGCAAGACAGCGTCGCCCACGCAGATCCTCTCGCTCTCTTCGCATCCTGTTTGCACAGGGGTGAGCCAGGGTCCAAGGCTGTAAACCAGCTCCCCTCCCAGCCATGTGCCCAAAGTTGAGTTAAAGGCCTGCCGTTCCTCAGATGACACCCATGCTGGCTGACTCCATGGTAAAGCTACCACTGACTTCAGCAGGAGCAGGATCAAGGTGCCCAAAACCACTGCCCTCCTCTCCACAAGCAATGCAACCCTTCACGCTGCTTTAGGTATGGGATGTCTCCCACTGCTACAGACCCCTGTGCTCAAGGGCTGGGAGTTTAAACTCCTTCCCTGTCAGGGCTAATATTTAAAAATCCCCTGGGGGGAAAAATCAACAGCTTTCCTGGAATCACACAAGTTACTGAGAGAGCGCACCCACATAAGACATGGAGTCCGAGGGACTGGATCCTGAGCGTGTTCACACAGGTGTAAACCCAGAGCCACTCCTAGACTCCCCAAAGCACACAGCTCATATTCTCATAGCGGATCTAATGACGGCTATTGGAAAAAATGCAGTATTTAAAAGACTGAAAATGTATTCCTATTGTTATCACTCTCTTTTATGTGTTTATGCATAGTGCATTGGAATGAATCAATACTGGATTGCCCTATAAATAAATGAGCATATCAGTAAACTGAGTAATAAAATGAAGTGATGAAAAATATGGAAATCAGCCACATTTGTGTAAATCCAGTTATTGTTTACTTTAATATTTTCTTATGCAGTTACGTGGTTCCAAAGAGACAGATTTAAAATAATGTAATGCTCAGCAGATGACAGATTCTAATGTGTTGCTGCTGGTGAGTTCTGAGTGCCTACATCTCTCTAGGGGTTTCAATCTAAGCACATTAGAGGAACACAGAAAGCAGCCCCCAGAAGAGCGATCATTTAAGAAAAAAAATGCCGGGAAGCGTGATGTTTCTCCTACGCCGACCCGTCCCGGCGGAGGCATTTACATCCCTTGGCATCAGGCCGGCATCTAGACTGGGAGAATTCCTTAGGACACATGAAAATACCCACAACACCTACTGAGATAATCAGATGGGGAACACAATACAAACCAGGTACGATGCCACTCGTGGGGTCCAAACAGATAAGCTAAATACCCATGTCAGGTTCAAAGGAAGCACGTGCTTGTGATTTCCATCAGTGAGAGCTGGAAAGGGGAGCATGTTGTGCAGGGGGTGAGCACTCGGCCTGGGGTTTGGCTTTATTAATCGCCACTGCCTGGTTCGTGCTAATCGCAGACACCGCCACGACAGAGAACCCCTCGTGAGTGCCGGCTTCTTACCTCGGCTTGGAAGCTTTTTAAGACAGGAGCCACCATCTCTCTGATTTCCTGCAAGAGAGATCAGAGAGTTCACCCGATGCAGATATCACACGAGCTCCCCAGTGGTACTTGTGTACACACACGCACTCAGGCACACACGCACACACAGCCAAGCGCACACTGAGCTACGGACGTGGGCAACCACCTGGCTGCTCGCTGAAGCTTTACAGCCGGTGCTCTGGTTAGATCTGATCTTCTCAAGGATATCTTCCCCTGGGGAAGGGCAAGAAGGTTTTGCATCTCCCCTGCTGAGTCTCTGGAGACCTGCAAGACTGGGATGCCGCACTCTCCCACTTTCCCCGTGCAGGAGGCAGTCTTTAACACCTTCCTCCCCCGGCCTGTCCACCTACTGGGAACCGACTGTTCTTTGCAATTTTTGCTTCCAACCTTCTTTCAACGTGCTGTGCCTCAGCACTGCCTGAGAGGATCTGCTAAATCCTGAGGCCAAGGGCTGCTCTGGGAACATGCACGCAACCCCTCCTGCAGTCGGTGGAGTGGGCGTTATGTTCGGGAAGAGGCCGATGATCTGCAGGCATTGTGCTGCCCTCTCCACTCACTTCCCTTCGGCTTGCTTGTGTTTACAAGGGGCCATCCCTGTCCTAGCTCTCTGACTCCCCGTTTCTTGGGGACGGGGTGCAGCACCAACCAGGCTTTTTCAGCCCATAACCTGCAGCGGAGTCCACCTAACGGAGCTGCGGAGGTCTCAATTGCAGCATGAAGCCCTGTTAATCTGCCTACAATATAGGGCACAGGGTTTGGCCCATGCAAACAAGTCACGTGAGCTCAGCAGGAGCGCTGAGGGAGAGGGGCACCTGCAGGACTCTGAAAGCGGGGCTGAATAGGGGACAGGCACTGTGCCCCCCTTCTGGCCCTCGCGGGCTCCTCTGGCTCACTTCACGCTGGGGGGTGCAAAGTGTTCCCCAGCGACGCGCTGTGTTGGCATCTCTCGCCGGCTCCGCAGTAACGCCAGCTGCATCCAGTTTGAAATGCTCGATAAGTCGCTCGCTATTTTTCAAGTACAACTAGCCCAGGGCAGATGGTTCAGTCCTGCCAAGTGCACAGGCTTCTCCAGAAACTGGGGTTCAAATCCTGCCATGCGTCCCAAATGGGAGCACACATGGTGACCTCTGCTGAGCCCCTCCCCAGCTAGCAAAACTCATAGCAAGGATGACAGGCTCTCCCTTGGGGGAGGCCAGGGTGCGACTAACAGGGGCATGAAGCCCAGGGCAAGTGGAGACAGAGGCCTAGAAACTTGGAGGGTTACGGGACTAACTCCAGCCAGTGAGGGGAAAGTGGCCTTGTGGCATCATCCTGCTGCCCAGGCTCAGGGCCCTCTCAAGCCTTTGCCCAAGTGGTCCCTTTGATGGACTGGTGCTGAGCCTGCCCTGCTCTCGCTCATCTAAAGCCAGGAAAACTCTACAGAGCAAGTCCCTGCTCGCATGGATGTGAGTGCAGAGCAGAGCACACGCACACGTGTCCAGCACGGGGAAACAGAGCTAACCCCCCGTGCCAGCTCTGACCCTGGGGAGCTACGGGCACGCTCATGCGGATCAGAGCAGAAGGGCACTGACACTCGTGCTTGCACAAGAGGTGTCTGCATGAGGCACGGTTCTTAGACAAAGCCTCGAGGGGCGGATCCAACCTTCACAGGAGCCGGCAGAAAGCTTCCCACTGACTTCATGGGGCTGCGGATCAGGCCCAGGACTCCTCTCCCTTATTGGTACCCAATTCACCCCAGTTTTTACACACGTTCTTGCCCCCATCCCCACCAGGCTGCTGGTGTTTGGCTGAAAGGCAAGGCTGTAGGACTTAATGAAGCAGAGAGCAAATTTGTAGACAAATTGGAGGGAGTCCAGCAGAGGAGAACAAAAATGGTCAGGGGGCTGGGCGAAGGACTTTGGAGAAGAGGCTGAGGGAACTGGGCTTTATCTAGTCTGGAGAAGACTGAGGGGGGATTTGATAGCAGGGTGGTCCCAGAGAGGATGGAGCTGGCCTGTTCTCAGTGGGGGCAGACGACAGGACAAGGAGAAATGGGCTCAAGCTGCAGCAAGGGAAGTTGAGGTTGGATATGAGAAAAAAACTCTCACGAGGAACGTGGTGAAGCACTGGAACCGGTTACCCAGAAGTGGTGGCATCTCCATCCTTGGAGGGTTTTAAGACCCGGCTGGACAAAGCCCTGGCTGGGATGATGTAGCTGGGGCTGGTCCTGCTTGGAGCAGGGGGTTGGACTCCTGAGGTCCCTTCCAGCCCTCATTGTCTGTGATCCTATGACTTCCTAATTGCATTCACAGGAGGGAAACTTCCAAAATGATGCTCCCCACTACACAGGCCACCTTCCTTTTTTAGCTTGTCTTTAAATCTGAGACAGTGCCAAGCCAACCCTGGGGAGGGCACTGTGCTACTGGCTTCATTACCCAAGTGAGAACCCTTGGGGCAGTGAATGATCTCCTGGTGCTTTCACCCCACTAGCAGTGTCTCGAGCAAACCGGGGCTTCGGCCCTTGCATCGTGATTGCACACATTCCCTTTGTGCTGGCGGTGAGATCAGTCTCCAAGTCCCATCCTGACCTGCTCTGTGCTGGGGTGTTGCTGTGACACAGCTCTCGGTGCCACCACGTTCCCTGCCTTCAATTGCTGAAGAATGGACCATGGACTTAAAATGCTCTGGGTTGAAAGATGCTATGGTGAGAGACAGCAGTGGTGATTATAGCTCTCGTGCAAAGCGCAGGCTCAGGAAGTGTGAGTGCCAGGGATGGAGATGGGGCTGTACAAAAGGGTGGGGGGTAAGAGAGGATGTGTTACAGGGATCAGGAACCCTTGCAGCCAGCAAGGAGACCTATAACCAGTGGTGCCATCATCCTCGCAAGGAGGAACATGGGTTTCTGGGGGCAGCTTGGCAGTTGCCAAAGTCACCCCCACAAATACCATTACAGTTCAGGGGGCTTGGGCACTTCGCTGCCAATGGTTCTGATTGAACCTAGTGGAGGAAAGGATGGGACCGCAAGGGACTTTCCTCTCTTCAGCCTTGCCAGCCTTACACAAGATGGAGCTTTAACCCCTTTGTCCTTGTGGAGGAAGGGCAGTAAGATCTCAGGTGCCAGGGAGCTAGGGGGCAGATGATGCGAGGCACCCAGCAGTCCCGCCGGCCATGGCTGTCAATGCCTTTCCAAGCTCCCCCCACCCCAGGCTTTCCTGTTTTTCTTCCTCGTTGAAAGGCAAGCAAGAAATAGCATCCGAAACTGTCAAAACCCCAGCAAACAGCCAAACCGACTGAAATAAAATTCAGTTTGGAAAAAAAATTAAAATGAGCCTACCCCATCTGGGCTGAGAGCTGGATGCCAAGAGCTCAGCTCGGCGCGTTCAACGCTTGCTTTTTATAAACTACTCGAGACCCAAAGTTCTTTTATTGGCAGCGCGGGAGGGCCTGATCCGGCACGGTGCTGCGCTCGCCCAGCCTAGCGCGGCCGGGGGGGACAGCGCCTCGGTGCTTTCCAGGATCCTTTCCCCACAATGGAACCGCTGGAGGCTGCGGTAATAAGCCATAAGAATACCCGAAGGTTGGGGACTATAATTTGTCTTTGTGGCTAATTAGCTTCCTTTCTTGTTAGTCACTTATGTCTACAGTTTTCACAATCTAGTTTGAGCAGAGGAAAATACGCCGCCCTACTGAGTTAATTCCATAACAGCAAATATACTGTACCTCAGGTACATTTTTCTTAAATTCCCGGCTGAGTTCAATTAAATGTTTATGAGAATGTTCACTCTCTTCCTGCCGCGCAGCCAGCTCGGAAGCAACAGAATTAAGCTCCTTCTGGAACAAAACAAAAATAAAAAAGGGGGGGGAAAGAAAAAAAAAGATGTTTTTGGTGCATTTGTTTTAAAACCATACATAGATTTCTCCCCAGAATTCATTTTTCTCCCTCAGGAAGCCAAGACATCTTGGCAATATTGACAAGGCGGTTGCATGAATAATTGAAGGAACGATGTACCCGATGCAAAATAAAATAAAATAAAACAAATAAGACCAAGGAACTTGTTTGGTTCATCAGGAACTCAGCTAATCAATATTCTTCTCTTTTTCTTGCCCCCCCTCTCTTTCCCAAAACGCACAGTGACATAAGCTCATCAGTAACTGTAAAAAAAACATCACAGTGGTAGTGTCAAAATAGTAAAGTGCAGCATATTGTATTGCCAGATTTTATTCTAAGTCTGCGTCGTTGCCAGATTACATATATCAGGAGAGAGGGAAGCAGTCCAAGTATGACTTACTTATACTTAAGTGTTCATAAATAAGATTTTTAAGATATATATGGCTTTTTAATTTCAGCCGAATTTGGAAAAATGAAGGTGCTGGTATTAAGTAAACTGACCTTTTGTGTGTCCCACAGTAAATCATGCACAGTTCACTTCGAGTGCAGGGAAATGTTTCATTAAAGAATTATGGATGCCGACAGTCGGGCTCGACGAACGCTAACCTGCGTGTGGGTGAAACCGCGCAGCAGACGCAGGATTGCAAAAGGCAGCTCAAAGAAAAAACAGAACCCATGGAGGCGGCCAAGCCAACAGACAGATGGAGACGAGGAGAGGCTCACCACGCTGGAGCCACGCATGCGTGCCTGCATTTTTCATCCCTCCCTTCTCGCCCTGCTTCGCTTTAGTGGCTTTGAACTTCACAAGGGGAGCATGTGGCTCCAGGAGCTGCCACAGGACCTGTCCACTCTGCTGCTGCCTGCCCGTGGGGTCCGGGACCACGGAGGAGAGTGGCTGGTGAAGCAGGGGGCAGATGGCATGTCCCGGGCCTCCCCGAGAACCCAAAGCCCACGCTGCCCAGATCCACTGACTTCACTGGGAGGCGCAAGGCCACGGATCCCAAACACACAAGTGTTTGGTACCTATGCGTGGCTGGCATGCCCAGCAAAAAGCCACTGGGTACTGGATGTGTCTGGTGCCCCCCAGCCCCACAATTAAGCAAATATAGATCCTCTTCCCTGCAGTGCCCACCTCACTGTCTCCATCCTGCTACCACAGGCAAGCCCAGTCACTGGGCCCGTGGCCTGGCTGCTGCTTTCTCCAGCCCTCCCTCCCTCCAGCCACGCACTCCCAAAGCAGCAGCTTTCTCTTGCTGCAGAGCTGCCCCCAAATGGGCCGATCTCAGCAGCCAGCCTAGCCCCTGAACCATGAAATCAGGTGAAGATGGGCCATTAAGATAAAGCGAAAGCTTGCCTGGCACCTTCCACCCAGTTCTCTGAGCAGGAGCACATCGCCAACCCCATCTCACAGATCCAGGCCCGAGGCCGGGGGCAGTTAAGTAAGCCAGGCTAGAGCCAGCCAGTGGCAGCAACAAGACTCACCCCCAGTGTCCCAGATCCCAGTCCCAAGCTCTCATGAGAGGGCCTTGCCTCTCCTCATCCTCTCCTCCCACATCCTCAAATACCAAAATGCATGGCAATTATCTGCTTGTATCATGGCAAGAACATCTGTAAAAATTTATACCTGCACCATAAAACGTGGCAAAACACAGCGGCCTTTGTCTGCTGCGGGGATCCCGGAAGAGTACATATTCCAGCCATGAAAACCTCATTAGAATTTATCTGCTAACACTGGTTCTAATTACCGCCCTGCAGTCTATGGGAAGAGACATAAACCATAAAATCTGAAGGGGAAAAATTCTATTAATTGCTTTTGGAAGAATTGGATGCTGAAGCCTCACGTCTGGGGGTCACTACCTGCATGAACGTCAGACTGTGCCCTGCCACCCGCAGCCTCCCAGCCCTGGAGATGTCCCGACGGGATGAACTACACGTGCTGCCTTCCCTGCCCATCTGTCCAGAGGAACGGAGGCCACGACACGCAGCAGGCGTGACGCTCCTTCAGAGAGGGCCCAAGATCCATGCTGGCCCAGCAGCCTGGATCCCGCTCCAGCCTCCCAGGCTGCAGGCTGTGGTGGGACTGCAAAGTGAGGAGCTGGCAAGTGGGAGAGGAGCAGGTGGAAGTAGCTGGAACGAGCCACGTTCCCCTGCCCAGAGTACCCTGACCCCAGAGCCGGTCCCCTGGCGTGCACAGGCGAACTCGCTCCGGGGCCTGCTCCGTGCTTCGCTTGCAGGCTCCTCTGCCCTTGGACAGTCCCCGACATTGGCAGGGGCCTTCTTGCAAATCCCAGCCATCAGATCCCCCAGCACTGCCTTGCCCTGCTCGCCCCCTCCGCTCCCCACTTCCTCTGGCTGCTGCTAGGTGGGCAGTGGGCTCCTCTAACGAAGCTGTTCAAAGCACACTCCTTCTGCCCAGGGCAATGGCCTGCCAGCGTGAAATCTGCCGGGCCCGGGGGAGACGTAGGCTGAAGAACTGGTCAGCAAGTTCCCGAATGTTTGTGTTTGATGGAGGCACGAGGTGAGATAACGCCCCATTAATATTATCAGCACTGGACTGCGTCAAGGTATCAATTGCTGGAGGAGGCCGGGGCCCCGCGGGGAACACTGGAGTCCAGATAAGAGGCAGCTCTGTGCACAGGGGGATTTGATTGCAAGGGAAACCCCTCTGCCCGCCAGAACAAGCAGCCCCTCGCCTCCCTTCGAACCTTATGTGGAATGTGATTAAACAAATCCTGCTGCCCGTGCCAACCCTTCCATTCAGATAGGCTCATCTGATCCACGGCGCATCAGACACAGACATCACGGAGCCTCCCGACAGCCCCTTCTGAATAACAAGCAGCCCGCTCTCAAACAACACAAAACTGCAGACGGGGGCAGACGGGCTTAGTCCTCCAGGCAAGCTGCAGCGAGCACGAAGCCAGGGAAGAGCGGAGAGTAGCCGAGAACAGATCCCTGCAGTGGACGGTACGTCTGTCGGGTTGCCCCGCCACAGTTAACACTAAGACTCAACGTGGCTCGTGCTGGCACATGCTTCTTTCGGATGGAAGCAGGCTCGGGCTGCGGGGACTGGTCAAGGAGGTCAGATAAAGGCTGGTCTGAAAGCCTACTTCAGCTGCCAGGGCTTGAAACCATCACACACACACACACACGTGTGCATCCTTCTGCATGCATGCATGCAAACATGGACCACACATCGGTTTCTCCACAGCTCTACACTTCCCATCCAGGCTGGTAGCAGGAGCAGCAAAAAAAGGATCGTCTGGTATTTCCTCCCACAGTGGAACTGGGAAGTGCTGGAAGTCTCTGGCCGCTTTCCCTCCGCTCTCTGGGCGAAGGAGGTCCAGGTCAGCCCATGGCTAAGGCACGGCAGATCTGCCCTGGTAAACTGGTCACATGGGCAGGCACTTTCATGCCATGTGCTAATGTTTCCAGGAAGGCACCCAGACTACCTGCCCGAGCTGGGCCTGAGGAGCCAGGGGGCCCGTCAGCATGCCCTCCTCCGCCAGTGAGCTGCTGGAGCCTTGGGCACATCACATAACTGTCCCCCTCCCTGTGCTGGCTGTGAAACGGGGCAGACCAAAACTGCCCTCTCCCATGCACCCCACCGCACAGGGAGGGGAGACTGGGCCTGGGGCTCAGGTGAGACGCCAGAGAAGCAGGGCAGGGTTGGCACACTCAGGCCACTCAAACAGATATTTGTAACAGGCTCTTTGGGTCCGTTAGCCCCTCAGAAGAGGTGTTCAAGAAGAGGATGGACATGCATTGGTCTGGGATGATCTAGAGGCAGCTAGGCTAAACTCTACTATGGGTATTTCCCATGTTTCTGGGGCTTTGCTGGTGGAGGGGGAGATTTCACCCCCCACAGAAGCACTGGGAGTTGTCTGCAACCAACGCTGGAGGCTTTGGGCTCTGCCAGTGGTCCTGCTGGAACAAAACCTGGAGGTCCCTGGCTAAAAGGGCCTTGCCCCTCTGCTCAAGCTCAGGTGAGGAAAACGTTTTACCCCATGTTCAGATGGGTATGCAGTGCGGGGGGTTTGCCTTCCCTGGCAGCGGGGGCACAGTCCCCCCGCTGTACCTGTGGCAGGCTCGGGTGCTGTATGACGCGGTTGATGGGGCAGGTTTAGTAACAAATTAGAAAAGGATTTGTACGGGATGCTTGGATAGGGATGACCCTGTATCAAGCAGGAGGTTGGACAGACGGGTCCACTCGAGGTCTCTTCCAGCCCTGCTTTTCTGTGATCCACAAGCCAGAGCGTCCCAGCAGCACCCGCACTGCAGCCCTGTGCCGGCCAGAGCCCAGAGCAGCTTCACCTGCCCTGTACGAGGGTAGCTCCCGGGGACTCTCGCAGGCCTGTGCCTCCCTGACAAACCCCCGTGGGCCCGTTGCTGTACGTGGCGGAGGGACGGGATCCACGCGGACGTAACAGCAGGGGAAAGGGCTGCCGGCGTGGGAGGGGCCGGGGGGCAGCTGGGGGACAGAGAGGGAAAGGGCCTGCCACGTTTGCGATGCAGGGCAGAACAAGACAGATTGCTGCGCACAAGACGGATGGCAGCACGCGCGGCACCCGGTAGATGGGGTGTTAGACAGGCTGGGCTACAGGAGCCATCAATCATTTCCTACATATTATGTAAATTCCTGATGCTAAAGATGTATGGAGTCAATTATCAGGGGTCACTGCTGGGTGTGAAATTCATACAATGAAGCTCACTTGGTCTCAAATGAATTTGTGAGAGATTGCAAGCTTACTGCCTTTTATTGGACAATATAAATATTTCACTGTTATATAAAAAAATATTGGAGAGAAAGCAGATAAAACGAAGTCCTGTGTGTATACAGAGAAACAGGGAGTGAAAAATGGCAGTCAGCATCTTTTTAACTGCCTTTTGGTGCATCACAGGGATATAGGTTATGAAGTGGGTTTTATGGCTGGCTTCGCCCCGATGCAGTCACAGCGAAACGTCTCTAACCTGCGGGAAG